AGTCATCAAACTTAAAGGATCGACATAAGGCTGATTTAATTTTGTTAAAAATGGCAAAACAGCGAGCGGTTGCTTTCGATGCCAGTACAGGCGAAAAACTCGCGGCACGCTTAGTAAGTAAGGCTATGTCGGCAAAAAATTAAAACTGGTTCTGGTTTGAGCAAAAAGCGTTCTCCCAAAGTTACATCTGGAAAAGGATTAAAAAGCAAATTAAAAACTGTTATTACAAAAGTAAAAAGACACATAAAAAAATTAAAACCTAAGACCAAGAAAATGGCTATAGAATTAGCTATTGCCGCTACCAGAGAATTAGCTAATGATTCATCGATTAAGCTCCCTCGCGTTATTCCTATTCCAAAAACTGGGGGAGTACTACCTCTGATTCCTATTTTTGCGGGGTTATCAGCGGCGGGAGCTTTAGCAGGCGGTGCAGCTGGTATTGCTAAAACCATAAATGAATTTAAAATGGCTAAAAAGCTGTATGAGGAATCGAGGAGACATAATGAAAAAATGGAAGCTCTATGTATTGGGAAAGGACTACACCTTAAACCACATAAAAGTGGTCTTGGAATTTTCGTATTAAAAGAAAAAAACTAAGATATCGGCTACCCAAACGGGCCTTAACTAACTTTGACATTTTAAAGTATGGAAATAGAATTCCTTATTTTAGAGGTGTCTTTATGAGAGATGAGCTCCCTAAATATCCGTATAAAAAAGAATGTGGAGTTATTAATTTAGATAGTTCTAAAAATCCTGGTTCTCATTGGGTAGCCTATGCAAAATATAATGATTATGTTGAGTATTTCGACAGTTACGGGAATCTTAAGCCACCAAAGGAATTTGTAAAATATGTAGGTTCTAACATTCAATATAATTATGAAAATATACAACGTGATCACCCCTTCAACTGTGGACATCTTTGTTTACACTTCTTAAACAATTTTTGGTCAACGAAGCAATAAAATGAACAGGATCTTTCATAACAGTCCAGTATATAAGCATGTCTACTACGGTTACCATCTCTGGAAATAAATCAGAACTGGTCTCGTATTTTCAACCACCTCTTCATTTATCTGATCAATACGAGTGCGGTTTACTATACTTTTCAGTATTTAATTCAAGACCAGATATTTCAGTTAAAACTAGTAATCTGTCTGTGATCAAAATTGAATGTGATCTTGTGTACGGTTCATACTGCAATGGATTACCAACACATTTTATTCATGAATTTGTATCAGATACTGCTCTAAGTCATGGTTATAAAGAAATACCACAAAACGTTATTTACTTTCCAGTGAACAAAAATATAATTTCATCCATATCTGTTAAAATTGTTGATCAATTTGGTCACTGTATTAACTTCGAAGAAGAATATATTCAGTTACGTCTGCACTTAAGAAAAACAAAATGATAGTATATTATAAAAGCACTCCAGTAAAAATAAATCGGTTTATTTCTTCTGCAACCGCTAAGGCGCAAAGACGTAATACAAAAATTAAGAAACTGACTAAAGCAAATAAAGATTTTCTTAAAGCTCTGGGTTTTAAAGTATGAATATGCTACAGATTACTGAATTACCGCATTTCGACAGTTCGATTGAAAGTTATGAAATCCATTCGTACAATCCCTACAATAACAGCTTTAGAGAAAACGATGAAATCAGAATCCCCATACATCAGCAAGATATATACGTGCTACCATCAGCCAGTTCAATTTACATCGAAGGACAGGCAAGGCTGTTCGGTAAAGATGGGAATCCGATCAAGAAAACTGTTACGTTCACTAATAACCCTGTTATGTCTTTGTTTCAAGACATCAGATACGAAATGAATGGTATCGAAATAGACCGTATTAAAAATTCAGGAATTACGTCAACAATAAAAGCATACATTTCATTAAATGAAGCAGAAAATAAAGTTGCAGCCTTATGGGGTTGGAACTTAGCGGGATTCCAAAATGATGGACATTTTAGTGCTGTGATACCATTGAATAAGATTTTAGGGTTTGCAGAAGATTACAATAAAATTGTGATAAATTGTAAACACGAACTTATTTTGAGTAGAAGCAACTCTAACTTAAATAGTGTTATTCTCACTGATGATGTTGTTAATTTTCAAATAGATATACAAAGAGTCCAATGGAGGGTGCCACATATAAAAGTGTCAGATCGAGAACGACTAACACTTTTAAAACATTTAGAAAGAGATAAACCTATTCAGATGGCTTTTAGAAATTGGGATTTATATGAGTATCCCTTGCTACCTAAAACTACAAAGCATTCTTGGTCAGTTAAAACAGCTTCACAATTGGAAAAGCCTAGATATGTTATATTTTGCTTGCAAACTAATAGGAGAAATAATAGGACTAAAGACAGTTCACTATTCGATCATTGTGAAGTGACCAACGTAACACTCTTTTGAATTCGCAATATTATCCCTACGAACCTTTGAGTTTAAAGTTTTCTGAGAACAAGTACAGTATATTATATGAAATGTATGTGAAATTTCGTCAGTCGTATTACAACAGTCCTGTTGACCCATTGCTAGATCTAACAGATTTTAAAGAAAAGGCTCCCCTTTTCATCTTAGATTGCTCAAGACAAAACGATAGTTTAAAAACCGGTCCAGTGGACGTGCGGTTAGAAGTTGAATGTTCCACACCAATACCAGATAAGACAACTGCATATTGTTTGATTATAAACGATCGACTTGTGGAATACAAACCTCTCAGCAACATTGTGCGCAGATTATCATGATTGCTATTGTTGATATTCAAGGATTTAGAACAGAAGCAGGTGAATTTATATTAAAAGAAATCGCTATATTGTGTAACAAAAAACTACAAGTGTTTTTAGTTAAGCCACCATTTCCATTTAAAAATTTAACGGAATCTGAAAAGAAGGTAGTTCTTTGGATTCAACGTAACAAAAAGATATACTGGAGTGAAGGATTTGTACCTTATTCCAATTACCAGACTTTGGTTTCCGATATATTAAGAGATAAATGTGTTTATGTTAAAGGTTCAGAAAAAGTTTTATGGTTAAAGCATATTTTAGAAAATAGTAATAGTAATATATTTAATTTAGAAGATAAGGGTTGTTCTAGTTTAGTACATTTATATGATCAATATAAACATTCGCAAGATATGTATAATTGTATTTATCATAACTCTGTATGTGCTTTAAAAAATATATTGTGTTTAAATAAATGGTGCCATGATAATAAAATTTTTATGAAATAAAAAAAAACTTGTTTAATTTTTTATAATATGTTTACTATCTCTCCCAATCCTGTACAATCACGTTTATAAATTGCTTGCAGCATTAAAGCAATGTCATTTTATGTTTATAATTATTAGCATCAAGAACTAGTACCAAATAAATAAAATATGTTTCAAACTGAATATAAACCTCGATATGATATGTATAATGCATACAAAATACGTGAATTATCCTTTAATTATTACTGGGGGACGAATAATTCAAAGAAAAGATTAGTGATGGAAATGGCTGATGCTGGATTCTTTTATTACGGAAATAATCCATATGATAAAGCAGCATGTTTTTCATGTGGAGGCGTTATAGAAGATTGGGAAATTTATGATGATCCTTGGATGCAGCATGCTATAAATTTTCCACAGTGTTTTTATTTGAACGCGGTGAAAGGGGGGGAATATGTCAATAAGTGGCAAAACATCATCAAGAATTGTGTTAGTGAGAAATCTTGCATATATGGAAGCGCATCGAATGAATGATGTCACACAATATACGTCTCATTAATGTAAACAAAGTGCATGAAGCGGTTCGCTATTTTGTTACATATTCGACGACACGTTTGGCTTAATGGTTAAGACCCTGGTCACAACTGAGTGCAATATTATAACACGTTCTTCAACCACAAAGACGAAGTGTCGTGGGTTCAATTCCCACACAGACAAGTTGATATTAGTTCTGGTCTGGTTTTTTGTTTGAGTTTAAATGAAGTTTTCACAATAACATTTAATTTAACCGCTGAATATTATGATCAAGAAACAGATTAAAATAATATGTTAGTAGAAGATTAAAATGTGGAAAATAGGGTATCCAGATCTCTGATCTGGATGCCCTATTTTCTAACTACTTTTATGTTATTTTATTCACATATTTATTTTAATAACTTTACAATCACATTTTTAATATTACTAATTTTATATATTGTTATGATATTTTTTGTAAACAAAACGAAAAAACTACTTAATATTGACTACCTACTACTTTAAATATTGTTTTTATGAATAATAGAAAGTATATAAACTAAAACCCAACTACGACAAAAAACGATGCTGAAAAAGTGTAAAACAACAAATACGTACGTTACGTTACGTGTACAATAGTATGTCTATTTTATTGTAAAGACATCCACGCCACTCCTCCAATGACAGACCTTTAGACCTACTCAACACCGGTCCCCGGCACGACATTTTTTTATAAATAATCTTGAATCGGTTTTAATTTTGTAAGTAGTCCTAATTAGTATTTTTCGCCATTTTATCAAATAATGGAACATTTCATAGTTAGTGCCAGAAACATAAATAAAAAAACAATTATAAAAAGTGCAAAAAGCTAACGTCACGCGGTATTCCCAGGCGGTCACCCATCCAAGTACTAACCGCGCCCGATGTTGCTTAACTTCGGTGATCGGACGAGAACCGGTGCTTTCAACATGGTATGGACGTTGGCGCTAGCTAGAATAAAATTAATGTTATGGATCAACTAAAACTGCACAATGTAACGTAATGATGAGTGCTAAGCACGTTATTATAAATGATTAATAATGTATTTTTATTTTTATAAAGATCTGTATAAAAACAAAGACGAAATGCATGTAGGTATCAATAAAATGGTAGGTATAATTTAATAATGGAATCTCTACTTAAAAATATTTGACCAGAAAAAAATCTACCAAAAAATTTACTACCATTCATTCACTATAAAATCAAATAAAAATAGTTTAGCATGAAACGTTTATTAAAAAAAAGATTAAATATTCACACAAGTACTTAGAGTAATAAATACATAAAAATATTTATCTATATTCTAATTATAAACTTGCACCGTAAATCGCTGCGCGGGTGCCACGCTGAGCGTGACGGAGTCGCCTGCGCAGGCACCTGCAACGCGACGCACGACGCCGCGCACGTCGGAGTTTACGATCAGGCACTTCATGTCCGGTAGAGATATTCCTATCTGGAAACATAAGAAAGGTATGTTACCCAAAAAATATAGCAGGTTCAAAGAAAAGGGTAAATAAAAAAGTCCCTCATCATGGCACCTTGCGTGAACGGCTATACCGTTTCCTATAGGTAATTATTTTATGCTGTTTGCTAAGTTTAGGCAATTAATAAGTATTTTACATTTCATGTGATTTATATATGGAAAAAACCAAAAATAAATAGAAATTCATTTTTACCGTTTGATCTAAACAGTCATTCATCAAACCACCAAGTGAACGCTGGCGTTCGCGCACCTATTATTCTTCTATTGTGCCACGAATTAATTATTATATTAATTGAAATGTTATATTATTTTTACTTTGTAAAATAATGTTGTATTTATGAACTAATGAGCCGATTAATCTATTTGTATACCTACTAATATTCAAAGAGGTAAATTTGCTATTTGTAACTTTGTATGTAGGGGGTAATCTTTGAAACGTTGATCGGATTTCCAAAATTTCTTAAACTGTTAGACAGCAACAATTGGCAACAATATTCCTGTCTGCAGCTATAGGGCATAAAACTAGAACTGAGCAGTGGGCCACGCGGCAGTAGCTAGTGTAAAGATGTTTTGGTAAATAAATCCACATTCAAACCTGTATATCTACTGACTGATCAGTCATCATTTCACTGTCGACTTCGTTGACTTCAGAGTATATCAGCCGGGACTCATTAATGGCATCACAGCGACCACATTTCCAGACACCACCATTTAAGACAGGTTCGTCATCTGCAACACACATTATTCCAATTATAAAATTTGTGAGAATATAAGACTACGAAAATAAGACTTACTAACTATTAATATAAAATAAAAATAATAGAATCTATACTATACCTATATAATATTTATGTTATATAATATTTATATTATAAAACCGACGAGTTTGTTTGTCTGTTTGGACGCGCTAATCTCCGGAACTGCTGGCTGGAATTGAATAATTCTTTTTCTGTTTGTTAGTCCATTAACAGAGAAAGGCTCTAGGCAGTCTAGGCTATAAAATATCATGTTACAATTTGTAGCGACATAAGCTAGTATAAAATAAACGTTTAGTGTCCTGGAGGTTAAGGCCTCTTATGCATGATGGTGTAGGCGCGGAACGAGGCAAGTACCTTGACCAAGTGATTTTTTGGAGTTATATTTATACATTTTCTATGATTATTTAAACGTCACTGACATACGTCAAAGGAAAACATCGTAAGGACACTTGGACTTATAATTTATATCTAATTATAAGTTTGAAATAACCAATCCGATGATCAATGCTCAAACGTTCTCCGTGTAAAAATGAGAGACCTTTGCTCAGCAGTGGGCACATATAGGCTTATGAAGTGATTTAAAAAAAAAATTGACAGAAAATATAATTATGATGATAGACTTAATTCATTTTTGTCTTCGACATATCAGTATTTACTCTACTACAGTGTCAACAGCTATTAAATATTTACCATCCTCAGTTTCTTTAGATTCCTCGATATCCCTGTCCACTCCATTCAGCAACATATCCATTACAGCATCAAAATATTCATCTTCACTTAACTCACTCAAATCACAATAACATACGCTCAAAATGACTAAAACAAACAACAATTTTGTAAACATTATTTCCAAATGTTCTTTTACATTAATTCGCAATGTTTCCCTATTGAAACGTCTACTTGTATTGCTAAAATATTTATTTAAAACAATCTACGCGAAACTGAAAAGGCGTGGTCATAATGATAAAATTAAACGAGGAAATAATAGTATTAGGCCTATATTTACGATCCAAAAAAAAAAAAATAGCCTAGGTACTATTATACTCTAGATTTATCTTCTATGCCAAGTTTAATTTAGTTCCGTTCGTGAAATATACGTGAAAAAGAGTTTTATAAACAAATATTCGCGTTTATAAACTTAATATTAAAAAAATTACATAATAATATTCTTTGAAAATTTTCGCATGCGTAAGCTTAAAAACTTTTTGGTGAGTTATCAATAATAAAATTTTATAAATAAAAATAAAAATCATTCTAAATTCAAATAAAATTTACGCGCAAAATTGAAAAAGGGACGCCATTTTGTATGACCGCTTCCTAAGTCTAGAAGAACTATCTCACATCATTGACCTCTCGAAGATAACTGCTACAGACGATTGGGTTCAAGTACTAAATTGTGTAACGTTATTTAATAGTTTGTTATGTTATATATATTTTGTTATAACGTTGATAACAATAAAAACACTTCTTTGCTCTTAACTGTAGAAGATTCCTTGGGTAATAAATTCTTCTTGTAAATTCTAATCACAGAAGAAATGATCGTTGCAATGAATTGTTCCAATTTGTCAGACGGATACACAAAATAAATATGCTTGTTACTTGTTTTTTTATGTGATAGGTCGGCAAACGACCTGACGGATAACCTGATGGTAAGCAATCAGCGCCGCCCATGGGGTGTCCATGGGCGGCGCACAGAGAAGATACAAGTGCATTGCCGACCTTTTGGAGATTAGGGATTTGGAGATCTAGGGATTTGGAGAAGGAAAGGATTGGGCCTCCGTTAACCTCGCTCACACGGCGAAACACAAAGCTGTAGTTGTTTTACGCCGGTTTTCTGTGAAGCCGTGGTCGTGGTCACTCTGGTCAAGCCAACATATTTGTGCCGAAGTATGGCAAACTTAATAAAATAAAAATAAATAAATAATAATAATGTATATTTATATTGTTTTAAAATACCAATATCTGAAAAAAATTGTAGGTACACCAAGGAGACGTAAGAGACGTTTAACTATGTATGTACCTAAAATTTGTAAAATTAATTATTCGTATATCTTATTTCTACTATAAAGCGAGACAGTTTGGGAACGTGCTCTTTTTATTTATTAAAATAATTCTGATGACCTTTAAGGTTAGGTCAAGTAAGGTGGTTGCCTTTTTGATTTTTAAAAATAATATTGAAGTCACGCATAAGTACTACTTGCGAAAGTACTGTTTGTGTTGTGCACAAGTTTTTTTCGTATGCCCTAAACAAAATAAAGCTAAAAGTTATGAGAATGTTTTCCGAACAAAAGTGTATGTATATTGAAAAACTAAACAAAGAACTAGGTACTGAGTTACTGACGAGACATTTATGACAAAAAATTAGCTCATCCTTATACTTAGGTAACCGGCGAACGCTTCACACGATTTATTAAACAGCTCATAATCTAATGCCTAAAACGAGAGCACCTCAAAATAATCTTCCCAACATCCATTCAAATTTCAACCACACTGTTTTCATCTTAAAGTTTTTGACGAACGCACCAAATAACTTTGCACAATAACCATAATGCAGATTGGTTTTCTAAACAAATCCTTTAATCCTGAATAAAGAGGCTTTTCTTTTTAATACGATCGCCTTCTGGTTGAAATTTTATACAAATCGGTTAAAGCCTTTTTAGGATGGACCATAATGCATGAGCGGAAAAGGCACACAGGGTTCAAAGGAAAAGAAAAAAGTCGGCATGAAAATTTGTGCGCAAAAATGTACCACGGTCAAGACTTCATTAGGAGAAGGTTGCGTGGTGGTTTTAAATCAGTACGCCCTGCGCAGGAGAAGGAACAGGGTGGTTTTTGACGCTCTCTATCACCCCACCAGAAGCGGAAGAAAAATAAAATTTCAAATTAATCAAATACACACATATTGCCCATATACACACATATTACACATATTGCCTTCTGCAGATTTTTGTTTTAAAAACTATCTTATGTCTGTAAGTACCAAATTTCACACAAATCGGTTCAGTAGTTTAAGCGTGTAGAAAAGACAGACAGATAGAGTTACTTTCGCATTTATAACATTAGTTAGGATAAGGATTAGTTTGGATGAAAACTTTAGTGAGACATTAAATCGGATTAACTACACACGTAACTGTATCGCGAGATAACTCGACTACTGTTAAGCCACACTGAGGCTCATAAAAATAAACCCAATCGTACCCTCCACAATCCCTTCCCAATATCCAAATCCCTAAAACCTCTTATCCTCAAAAGGCTGGCAAGGCACTAGCAACTCCTCTGATGTTGCGGGTGTTCATGGGTGGCGCTGATTACTTACCATCAGGTAAATTGTCAGCGTCAGATTTTTGCCGCTTAACATAAAAATAAAACAACGACATTGGGTAGGCACACTCGCCAACACAATTTTCAAAAATGGAACATGAAACTCATTTCGTGCGTCCTTTTAAAAAGGTCTAGCCAAAATCTAGTCCAATAATATCAAAGCTATTTAAAGAAATATTCAATTTTGCTACAAAAAGACTAGGTAATTCAGGCCCAGACGAAACGATTACGATTAAACTTTGATAACCAGACAGACATTCAAGATAAGCTATTAGAGAAAACTCATTAAGAAGACACTATTGACAAGGACATAGTTGTTTTAGAAGTATATTAAATTTGTTTTTAATATTATGTCTTTGCCACCAGGAGAAATGTATGTCCCTTCTTTGAGGAGGAAAACCACCATCAAGTGTGGGAGAGCCAAGCTTCGGCACGAATGGGTCTGCTCGACCGGAGTAATACCACGACCTTACAGAATACCGGCGTGAAACAACCCACAGTGTTGTTTTTCGCCGTGTGAGTGCGGTTACCGGAGGCCTAATCCTTTCCCTTCCCCTATCCCTTCCTGATCCTTATATCCGCAACCCCTATCCCCAAAAGGCCGGCAACGCACTCGTAACTCCTTTGGTGTTGCGGGTGTCCATGGGCGGCGCCGATGGCTTACCATCAGGTAATACGTGTGCTCGTTTGCCGACTTATACCATAAAAAAATTATCTATTGTCTTCTTTCTTTCCCTGTTTTATTTTTTGTCAGGGAAAATCATCAAACGACTTCTCTCGCTCAGGGTATGGCGAGAGAGAGTGTCAAACTCTTACTGACTACAAACACAGCACAGCACACAGAAAAACCCCGACTGAACACCAGCCCTGTTTTCCGTTCCTTTTTTGTTCAGACTACTCGACGTCCTTGCGTCATTGCAGGGATTCAGCAGAATACCAGCGTCAGGTATATACCTGACACATGCTGAGATGGACTCCCATTCGGTGCAAACTAAAGATACACTGAACTGCTCCGTATTTTATTAATATTTTTTTTCCTTTTTCTCGTTCTTTATGTTCTTTCTTTCCTACTACCCGTCTAATACGTAATTTTTACTTTTTTTATTTGATTTTATTTTCTTGTTTATTTGTATTGTGTACCCACTTATTTGTCTATTAATTTGTGTCTGTTTGTGTTTGTGCTGAATAAATGTGTTATCTATCTATCTGTTAGGCTCCATCTGTGGTAGTCTTGGCTCGCCGACGGCTGGCCAGGACGACGCCATACGACGCGCATGTTGCTCATGAGTAAGAGTCCCGTAGTGACTTGAAACTAGTAGAGCTTTTCTTAGTTATTATTCATGTGAATTAATCGCTATTTTCAATAAATTTTGTATTTTTCATCATGATACGTAGTTGCTATTCAAAAGTGACGCAAGAAGGAGATCTTTGATCGTAACATATTTTTTACATTCTTCCTACTTTTTAAATATTATTTGAAAGACATATTTCAACTTCGATTTTAGCTATAAATCACTCTGATATTTTTAAAGTATATCAAGAATCTGAATAGATTTTATCTCTACGCAAGCTTAAAGAGATCTCTGTGTAATCTTTTACTGTCATTGCTTGAAGTTTTTCTTAGTGAAAACTTTTTCTTAGTGAATCTTGTCTATATCTTAAGAAGCTATTTGAGATTAATAGCTATAGACGGACTTTTATTTATTTGATTTTCATTTGTTTTTTTTATACTGTTGTTGTTTTTTGTTTTTGTATTTTTTTGTAAATCGACTTGGGTGCTTTTTCTTTAAAAAAATTATAATTGCATGGAGTTTAGGAATGTGTCAGTGTTTGGCAATAGGTTCACTGCATATTGTATTAGTTATTCATAATTTAACTGTATATTTACCACCGTCCGTGCGTGTCCGTACCGTGAGTACTGGAAGAGTATTCTTAGCAATTCTGAAGGGGTTGCGGGTGCAAGTATGCACCCGCAACCCCGTAATGTATCGCGGCCTGGCTTGGAGCAAGAAAGGAAACAGGGTGGGTTTTAGTTAGTAAAAGTCTGATACTCCTTCTCGCGCCACTCAGGGTGGAAGAAGTCATTTGATGGTGTTCCCCCACCAAAACTATTAAAGCAATTGTGCCGGGGTTCTGAAAGCAAGCGTTATAATGTACTATAACCGGAGTCGTCGCAAAAGAAGGATCTGGTGGTTTTTAGTCATTAAGAGTCAAACATGCCTTTTCACCCACTCAGGACCGGCGAAGTCATTTTGATGATGTTCAAAACGGCCTTATAAATGGTTTTCAGAACAAAATACAATGTCAGTAAGTATTATTTTCTGTAGTAAGTTTTGCAAATACCTAAAACTAATTCAATGTGTGAATGGATTAAAACAATAATTGCTAACAAAACGTTTAATCTATAAAAATAAACGTCGGACCTTCGTCACCTAGAATTATGTAATATGTCGCCGTGTCCGTATTCTGGATTTTTTTTGTCGTTTTTCTTGAACTTGGTCACCTCCAAAACTTCATATCTAATTTTATAAACGCGATCAAGAGTTTCTTTTTTAAGTTTTTAGACATTTTGGTGAACTGTTTTTTATTAAAGAGATTCTAATCACAATATTGTTTTCCGTGTTGTGTCGTGGTGGCCCGGAGGTTAAGGATCCCGCTTCTCATGCATGACGGTGTGGGTTCGAAACCTGGCAAGTACCAATGTGACTTTTTCCGAGTTATATATACTTTCTATGATTATTTAGATACCATTGGCATACGGTGAAGGTAAACATCGTGAGGAAACCTGGACTTGTAATTTTTAATTATAAGTTTGAAATCGCTAACCCGCATTGAGCAAGCGTGGTGATTAATGCTCTAACCTTCTCCGTATGAGAAGAGGCTTTTGCTCAGCAGTGGGCACTTATAGGCTGATGATGATGATGATGATGATATTGTTTTCCGTCCACGATAAATCATTGCCATAAAAATCACCTTGTTGTGAAGAAAAAAGAAATATCCTAAACGAAAAAGAACACACTACTTAGTAAGACTTTCTTCTATCAGAATACGGTCGTCCCAAGCACCCGTCTTCGATAGTATATTACGTGTCTGAATTCACGTTCGTTTATCTTCTGTCAGTAGCTGGAAGGTTGAAGGATGTCGTTTAACTAAAATAAACTAAAAAAAAACATTTATTTTTATCCACCGACGATAAATGAATGAACGCCTGATAAAAAACTATATTAAGAAACGTTGATGCTAAATGTTGCTATTTTGTTTTCTAAGGCGTTTTAGTTTTTTATATTTTTTATTTAGGTTCATTTTATCTGTTCTCAATAAATACGCTTGTGAGGTCTATTGATTAGAGTCTCGCAAACTAGGGCCGCCTGAGGCTACTTCTCACCTATTAAATTCTTCAAATAGGGCAATAGGTAATAGGAACCAAAACGATTGATATCTTTCATCATTAAGATGGTATTCCATGGTAATACATGTACATTAATCAATCCTATAAACGCGAAAGATAGTCTATTTGTGATCCCTTTGTATTTTATGTATTCTTATAATAATTATATGTATAAAATATTTAAATATTTTGAAGTTCAAACGTCAATGAAAGGGCATGTAACAATTCTTTTAGGCAAAACCGCAACAAATATGTAATTATCTAGTTCTCAATAATGTTAATTTCTTTCCATTTTTTAATTCCAAAATAAAATCCATGAAAATAATATTCATATATATCTCATTTAGACTTAATTTAGGTATTATTTTAGTATTGGATTGTTATTTTGGGCCTTCGATAACCTCACTCACGGTGCGAAAGCAAGCTGTGGTTTTTTCACGCCGATTTTCTGTGAAGCCGTGGGGTCACTCCGATTGAGCCCATTCGTGCCGAAGCATAACTTTCTCAATTTTTTATAATAGTTACAATATTAATCGCCCTGTCATATAGACAAAGCCGCGGGTAACAAATACATATAAGGTTTATTCGAAAATCGTAATTGGTTTCATTATCACTTATCGAATTTTCTCGTTATGTAGTGTAACCTACTTGTATTTCTCTCTTTTGAGGAAACCCACAAAGGAATATACATATTCGGAAAAAAGAATTAATAATTCCTTTGTAATAAACATACTTATTTATAATTTTAATGTTTTTTTAATGAGGGCGTTTTGCCTAGTAAGTGTTGGCTTGCGGATTTGAAATATATATGGTGATTACAAACATGACAGGTTATATTGTTTTATGTTCTTTCCAGGAATATTATTAATTAATGAAATCCAAATTTACGTCTATACTTACAAACTTTCGCTTTTATAATGTTTATTAGGATTATGTCTATTTCGCTTTTTTCTATCAGTTTAATATTCTCACGTATAAATTAATTTTTATTTTAACAACAATAGATAATTTTGATTATGTGTGATTTTGCTAAAAAACCTCTTCAGACCAGGATACGCGGGCTGTATAATTACGTGTTATCAGGCAAAGATTTTTAAGATCTCGTAATTTTTTTATGTAATTAAACGGAAATTTATAACTGTTAATAATATACTTCTCACTTAAACAAAAGTTTGACGTGCCATTAATCACCACGCTGGGCAGGCAGGCTGGCAGGATGCGCCGCGAGTAGGTGATGTTGACTAGGGTACTAAGATGGTAGACGTGTTCTAGAGTGGAAACCACGTCTAGGCAAACGTGGTACTACTACTAGCTAGGTAGTGTAGCGTCCTCTAGTTAGGTGGACTGACGATATCCGCAGGGTGGCTGGCGTACCTAGATGGATAAGAAGTGCTGACGTGCAGCCGTGGACGCAATCAGGCTGATGATGGCGAGGATATAAAAATAGAATAGTTAGAAAAAAGTTATTGTGTAATTTTAAAAATAATAAAAAATATGTTTGTAATTTTGTTTACAGAAAGTAAGGGAAGGAGTCGTATGAACCTTTTTTGTTGTATATCTCATGAACTGTACTATCAGTAAGCTCCATAGGCAAATTTCCATATCCAGAAGGCCATCCATCGAGTCAATTCGCATAAATGTAATTAGGTATTTAATTAAATTTATGATGCCGATTAGTTCCTTCCTAGATTTATTTCTTAGTTAGTAGATATAAGTAAGATAATTTTGTAATTATAGTACGTTAATTAGTTTGTAAGTTTATAAAGAACTAGCTTTTGCCCGCGACTTCGTTCGCGTGGAATAGTGACTTCCTGCAGATTTTTGGTATAAAAACTATCCTTTCTGGAGTTTCAAACTGTGTATGTACCAAATATCACAGAAATCGGTTCAGTAGTTTAGGCGTGAAGAGAAGACAGACAGACAGACGGACAGAGCTACTTTCGCATTTATAATATTAGTTTGGGTTTAATTATGTTATTTCTTTTTTTTATCATCCTATGTTAAAATGTTAAATATATTATTTTACTTAGAAAACTGTAAGCCTATCTGTCGATTTGGGATTCTCTTCTAATATTATTTAATTTAAGTCATATAATCAGCCTATAAGTGTCCACTGTTGAGCAAAGAGGTTTGAGCATTAATCACCACGCTTATCAATAACAAACTTATAATTAGAAAACATTATAAGTCCTTTAATTATGGAATTATCATTTTTCCTAAAATATACATTTTTATTTTTGTCTAGTAAAAATAAATATGTTATTGTATGTTAATGTTTATTATTTATTATTTTCATTCAAAAAAAAAAATTGAAATATGTTAGAATTATACAACGGATTGTCCATTATATAATTATGTAATTCTCGTTATCGCATTCTGCGATCTCTTTATCTAAAGGATGGACATGAACTGATAGCACTGCTGGGTAAAGATACAGGACAAACATATATTCTTAAAATATGTAAGTATAATACATAAATGTAGGAATGTATTTTAAGAGAGAGAAAAATCATCAATATCCTTATCGCGCCCTGGGTGGGGCGAGGCGGAGTGTCAGACTCTTAATTCATTTTTTTGTGCGATATGACCGCGAATGGGTATACGTGTTACCTGATGGTAAGCAATCAGTGCCGCCAAAGTGGAAACTATTTAGTTTTTTCTTCTCCTCAAATATATCCTCTGATATATGTACATATTTCGTTGCGGAATCTAAGTTTCATGACCCGAAGACGCGACTTCGGTGTTCCGGTGTTTTCATGGTTGTATCAACTATAGATCCTCGCTTACAGGAGCTGCAGCGGTTATGGGAGAATGCGGCGGGCTTGTCCAAATAAAAAAATCAGTGCCGCCCATGGACACTTGCAATTCTTAAGGAGTTCGAGTGCGTTGCCGGTCTTTTGGGGATTAGAGTTTCGGAGATTTAGGGTTTAGGGGAGGGGAAAAAGGATTGGAAAAAGGAGTCCGGTAACCTTAGTCACATGGCTAACCACAATGGTGGTGGTGGTTGTATATACATAGGTGTTTGTTGGGCAGAATCTCGAATGCAGTTGTGTATAAAGCCACTTGGGCCTGGTGCGATATTCGAAGATGTCGTTTTTATATAGAAATTTTAAAGTCTGTCATGGTTTTAAATTTGGACTTCGGAAATATAAAGATGCTAATCCTATATGAAATGGCAGTGGGCAAGTCAAAGAACCGATGACTGTTGAGCTAAGCGTGTTCCAGAGACCACGTCTAGGCAAACGTAGAGTAGGGAGCCCTCCAGACAGTTCGACTGACGATATCCGCAGGATGGCCGGCAGTGGTTGGATGAGAAGAACTGAACATCAACAGTCGCGTGCTATTGGGGAGGCCTATATCCAGGTAGACGACATTAGGCTGGTGATGATGATGTTGAAATAGGAAGTTAGATACATAGTATCAGCAGCCAATAACACGAAGATGAAGCAATTGCGCGAGCGCAGTTTTAGTGACGACTAAAAGGAAATTACACTACCTCCTTAAAGAGCCAAAAGCTGTAAATATTTTCTTAATGACGTCAGTCGATTGAGAGATCGACAACAAACCTTCGTCTATGACAATTCTCAGGTTTTTTACCTTTTTTCTTAATTATGTTGTAGACAAAATATAATGTCCGTTATTAGATATGACTAAAAACTCAATTAACTACTTTTTTATTATCATTTTAGGAATGCATATAGCTTTTAAATGTAGTTTTTTATTTTTCTTAAACATTGAGTCCTTCATAACCTGTTACATGGTGGTGGTATAGATAATAAAATTTTATTTAATTCAGAATGTTGGTATGTATGTATGTTTGTGATGTGGAATCTTGTAGCTAAATTTTGAAGTAGTTATTTTCTATCTACTGAAAAATATTTGAGAACTAGGAAAGGAATTAGGAAAGGAGAGGGAAAGGACTTGTCCTGCTCAAGGCTGAGCATAGACATATATATAGAATGTTTTGACCATTATCATCGGTCTGCGGTCGGATCAGCGGCTCACACACGATGCTTTTTTCACCACCTGTCTGCTGAAAATATCATATTGGTAGATACTTGAGTTTTAACTTCCGGGCCACGATATCTTAATAGACTTATCAAAGTTAGTTAAAGTTAATATAAAAATACTAACTAAACCAGTTAGACCGGTAACTGGGATCAATTTAACCAGTAATACGATACTTGAAAATGCATTACATAACTGGCTCTTATCTTTTTAAACCTTAGTATTCATTTTTCAAGGCTTGTCTTTTGAAAAAAGAATAGCAATAATTGTTTTTGAAAAAAAAAAATTGTGTTTATTTTTGTCTAGTTATTTTGACACGAAATGAAATATAATCCATTCGTTTCCTGAATGCTTGAAATTCTCGAAATCTATTTATTATATATTTTATTTATGGTATAAGTCGGCAAACGAGCAGACGGATTACCTGATGGTAAGCAATCGGCGCCGCCCATGGAAACCCGCAACACCAAAGCAGTTACGAGTGCGTTGCCGGCCTTTTGGGGATAGGTGTTGCGGATATAAGGATCGGGAAGGGAAGGGATTGGGCCTCCGTTAACGTCACTCACAGGGCGAAACACAACACTGTGGTTTGTTTCACGCTCGTATTCTGCGAGGCCGTGGTATGAATATATATTAATATATCGTCATAAAAATAGTAATTTCTAAACAATTCTGTAATTTAATCTCGGATTCGGATATCGAATAATTATGGTCTACTTACAATAAAATCAAAATCAATTAAATCAAATCAAATTTTATTTATTTACGTTTCTACATAAATATCTTTATTTAAATAAAGGGGTAAAATATTTTAATAAAGGGGAGGGGGAGTGGGATAGTATGGTTTTGAAAACAGTTTCGACTAGGAAAGAGTCGGTTGGGGTTGCGGATTAGGCGCAACGACATCGCTCAGCTACGCGTAAGAGTTGGTTTTAAATCAATAGGTGTCTAACTTTAAGACATTCGATGATATTACCCAAAAAAAGCCAACAGTACAGTCTATCCTTCGCCATATCCTTTTCAGCACTCATTAACGTCCCGAAAATTACTGACAATCTGTCAAACATACAAAAGACACGAAGTATTTTTTTCTCAATGATCAGGTTGAGCTGACAAAGTTAAAATATGTGATTAAAAGAAGGGCGAACTATTAAATTCCTGTAGTAGGTAAGCTTAAGTCCAATAATATAGTACTGATCATAAATTTGAGTCCTAATAACCCAAAAGTAATTTTAAAACGCAGATTTTAGGCAAACCTACATAAATATACAAATAACTTTGACTGCAACATGAAGTGTTTCTTAAAAATAACTTCGTATCACCAGGCAACGTAAATATATTTTTTAATTAACTAATAAAAAACATCATATAAAGACGCTTACGCTTATCCATATACTTATTTCGAAGTTTGTTCGGAAACTTTAAACATCGTATTTATGTAATGCAATTTTTTAAGCTTTTATAAAAATATATTTAAAAATTAATATATTTAATTTAATAAATAGATTTTAAAATTAACTTTTAAGAAATAATATTATATTTTATGGTTAAATATGTTTAATCTGTGCAAAATGTATGGAGTGCAAAGATCAATGGGAAAAAGCTGTGTGGTGTATAATCAAATTGTGGTATTAAATGCTGCTCGGGGATATTCAAACGTATCTAGGTCAGCAGAATTTAATTATTATTTTTTATACAATAAAAGTGTATAAAACCTAATGTGTTTAAAAAAAATATATACCAAAATGTTTACATCAAAAAGGATCATGGCAGAAAGTTATTGAGCTATTTGTAGTAAAAATATATGTTTAACTTTATTATTTAAGAAGTAAAGTAAAATATTGTAATAAAAGTTGACGATAAAGTTTAACTCCTCTGAGAGAGTATAATTATATTATAATTTTAAAGACTGTATCAAGATCAACACGTTGATAAATAATACCTCCTCATTTTTGGAAATCAATAAAAATTTTAAAGATAGCGATTGATCTCCGATTTTTAAAAAGCGCTGAAAAACACTAGTACTTTTTTGAAAAAAAAACACAAATTTTTTTTGAAAACAAAAAAAAATATTATAAAAGTACAGAAGAAAATTGGAAAAAGTGATCCCTTCGTTGTTAGCGAGATAGTTGGACCCGAGCGAAGCTAGGTATATATAATTATAGTAATTTTGCATAATTAATAATGACACTGGTTTGCTATGTTTCAGTGTACTTCCAAAGGACAAACATCAGTCAGTGGCAGACTTTTACTCTGGGAAGTCTGTGTTCATCACGGGGAGCACCGGATTTTTGGGGAAGGTTTGTAAACGTTTGATTAATATGTTTTTTTATACTGTGATAGACAGGCAAACGAGCGGACGGATTACCTGATGGTAAGCTATCAGAGCAGCACATGGGTACTAACAACACCAGAGGAGTTAAAAGTGCGTTTTCAGCCTTATTGAAGGGATGGGGGAAGGAAGGGATTAGGCTCACAACACAACTCTGTGGTTGTTTTACGCCTGTTTTCTGTGAAGCCGTGGTGGTACCACAGCTTCTGGTCTACGATAGATACAGGATGTAAAGAGACACTTAACAAAGCCGTTAACTACGCATACTGCAGTTCTAACTAAGTAGCTTTACGCTAAAATTATCACTGGGAAACGACTTTCATTTTAAGGTATCAAAAAAAAAAAAAAAAATATTGCGCGCAATGTAAAGCAAACGGGCTTCGTGTCATTGTGTGCGTAGGTTCACAGCTTAGCATTAAAACGCTGTAATAAGTACGTAGGTCGACGTTTTACTTCGCAACAACAAAAAAATAAAAATCCTACTGAGATGCACGATGTTTTTTGTGCGGGTCTGCATTTATTTATTACGTACATTGCTGTTCGTAACTTCAAATGCGTAATTTATTGAGAAAAATCGAAAATTCAGTTAATGTTTGTTTGGAAAAAAGTTTTGTAATAATACTTAGAATTCGATTGCGCAAAAAAAATAAAAATAAAAATGTATCTTTGACCTTCAATATCTCGAGAACCCGTGGAGGCCCAGCTATGGTCTTAAAGAAAAAAATGATCACAATAATGGGCAGAATACGTGGCCTTCGGCTTCGTTAAGTGTCTTTTTACACCCTGTATACTTACTATTAAAAAAGGGTAAGGTCTGATTGTGATAATAAAAAGACTATTTTCTTATAATTATCTCCTTGATTTCCATCGTATACAATAAGGATCTTCAAGATTATAACTTGTTTCAGGTTTACCTTGAGAAAATATTATACTCGTGTCCCAAATTGGATAAAGTCTACCTTCTGATCAGAGACAAGAAAGGCGTGATTGCTGATAAGAGAGTTGCAGACCTGTTCGATAACCCGGTAGTCTTATTTTATATGACATAAAACTACTTTTTGCATGTTAATTGTGATATTGTTAAAAAATACACTTATGTTTTTTAATAATAGGTAGGTACTTATATGTTTAATATCTTATCATATTAATTTAACATTAGCGTTATAATTTAATTTTTTAAATAGTTAAATTGTTTGAAGGCGCTTATCTTCAAAACTTATGGTTAGAATTGAACGATTATTTTTATAACAAAGAGCGATTTAGGACCCGGGTTATACCCCGCGAGTTTTGATTAAATCATAATAATATATGGGTTCAAAAACTGCAATAATGTTAAGCTGAACAAACACCTCATTTCTGACACCTATAGGTATCATTTTACATTTCTATACCTATTTCTGATTTTCTTTACAGCTCTTCAAAAGGTTGAAAAGCAACAACCCTGATTTCGTTAAGAAAGTTGTACTTGTACCCGGTGACTTAAGGTTACCGAACTTAGGGTTGTCACCTACTGATGAACAGACTCTGATTGATAAGGTTAGTTAATATTTTTTTTTTGGGAATTTTTATGTATGAGTAGTGAGTTCAAAATGAATGACAGCATACAATAATAAATTTGACGTCACACTTGAAATTTTACACGAGTTGTACCGCCTTTTGGGGGACGGAGAAGAGTATTTTATCTTCTCCAAAACCACGAATCTCCATCTCCAGCCAGGGTTATAGATATGATGATTAGATATGATACGCAATGGTGTACCTCGACCAGCTCGGAGGTAGAGGAGGATCGGGATGAGCGTTCAGTAAGAATCTGAGACTCGCTCTCTCTCTACACAAGGTAGGAGAAGTCATTTGTTGATTTTCCTTCTCAAAAAAGTCTTCTTCTTTATCGCCGTTACAATCTATATTAAATGTGTGAATTTATTCATAGAATGTCGAGTGGATCTGATACAAACCTGAGCACTATTATTTTTTATACGCATGACTGCTTATAATACTATAATATACTTTAAAACAGTTTTCGTCTAGGTACAGCCCGCAACGATTAGTCTATATTATTGAACGTACCTAAGTACTTCCAAAACGTTTATTCTAAGTTGACCATACCTATATAGGTACTTTGAAACGTCAAAATAGATTAATAGTCCGTTAGCTCATTCGTCAGACACTAAGTTTAGTGCTTGATCTTTTCAATTCGAAGATTCGAATGGCGAAGAACGAGCAAAAAACTTCATCGATGAAAGAAAGAAACTAACGAAAATATCTTTTAGCAACACATTCGGTCGATTTTTTTTAAAAAAACCTTCCCTCTTTTTTATTTTTTCCTGTGCCGTAAGTGCATTTACAAAGATTCAATTGCACAAACAGTTCACGACCAGACACAAAACACAATTTTTTTGTGGATCACACAAAGATTAATTCCGTGCGGGAACAGCAGCTGGTTGTCCAGCCACCGCGTCAACCGTGCAGTTGTTTCATCTATAATACTTATTTATTGGAATTTATTTCAGGTATCAGTTGTATATCATGCAGGAGCGACAGTCAGGTTTCACGAACCTTTGCCAGTGGCTATAAACATTAACTATGAAGCTACAAAGAAAATGCTCGACCTTACTAAACAAATGAAGAACATTGAGGTATATCAATATGTCATTTGTTTTTATTGACCTAAAGCGGCGTAGAGTCGTCACGATTCATCGGTACTTAGGGGCGATCCCTAAGATTTAGGGTGGTCGGGTACTCTCGATCGCCCGTTTTAAGAACACTTATTGCCTAGCAGCGATCATACCGCCCAATCTTTGGGAAGACTAAGGGCACGTGGTATCGTGCCGTCTGATCGGTGCTTTAAAACTACAAAATGACTGAGAAAGTCCTATGTCAACAATACACTGTAATATTTTTAAACCTCCTGTTGATAGTTATGTTTAATGTATAACTAACTCCTTTAAAAGACCAAAGAAAACGGGGAGAATTATTTTTATTTATGGAATATCTACTTCGGCAAATAAGCAGCCTGATCAACTGATGGTAAGACATTTTGTATTTGTGAGTTAATAGAGATTTAAGAATTTCTGAGGATTGAGTATGGGGGAGGGGGAAAGGGGAGAGAAAGAAAAGGGGTTCCAAGAACATCGGAGTGTTCTTAAAAAAAAATATATATCTTAATATACAGTGTAATTGCTTTGTTGGCGCTCAGCTACCACAAAAAGTGGTTAGGACAAAACTATTTTTTTGACAGGAGGTACGGTGGCTGGGAATTCGGTTGCCCAAAAAACATGTTTTATTTTTTATTTTTATAGGCCTTTGTTTACGTGTCTACGGCGTACGCTCACGGTGCAACTAAAGTTCTTGTAGAAACTACCTACCCACCTCCAGCTAAGGTGGAAGATGTTTACAAGTTCATGGAAGAGCATGGGCACGATGATTTGGAAGTGAAAAAGTTTATAGGTACGTTTTTTTCTATCTTCATATCAGGCTCATTGATATAGTTGGAAAAGAAAAAGAGTACTTAAGTAATACCTGGAATTAATTTCGATATTCGATACATTTAACTTTGTTAACCTCGGGAATACTCGATCAGACTCGAGCGTATGATGCGTAGCGTTTCCCGCGCGCTGGAAAACCAATAGCCAACCAAGGCTGCACAGCCCTGTTGGGCCCACAGATGGGGCTCTACAGGATTGTTCCACAGATAGGGCCCAACAAGGCTGTTCAGCTGGGGCTCGGGTAAAAAGCGAAATAAGATCGCCTTACCCAGGGCGGGAGAAGTGATTAGTTGAAATTTAATTTAAGTGATTGCCAAAATACTGTTAACGTGTTATGAAACTATTTCGTAATCTTCAAAATACAATTTTTGTATTTTATGGTTTTTAAATATTTTTATTTTAAACTAAGGTACTTACATGAATGTAAACTTTTCAGGCAGTCATTTCAGTACGTATGCGTTCTCCAAATCACTATCAGAATCCTATATTGCGAAGAATCATGGGAATGTGCCCACAGTTATCATCAGGCCTTCGGCAGGTAAACATTTAATTTTTTATTTATAGAAAGTTGCTTCGGTTTAAGTTTTCTTCTGTTGTAATTTATATGAGTTTCCAAACGCATACACTTACAATGCAACCAGACTTAGACTAACAATTTGTGGATTCTATATACAATAATATTTTTACTTAATTTATTACAATAATAGTAATAATTAATTTATTAATAACCGGAATCAGCTTTTTCTCACGTTTTTTTTATGATTTTTCATAATAATAGGTTCTTTTGCAATTTCGTGAGTGCGTTTACAAAAAATACAATTTCACATTCACATCACACCCAGATCCGGAACAACAATATGCGGATGTTTCATGCGGGAATTGAACCCACCACACATTATACGACGCTTATAAAGCTCAATATTATTTGCAGTGACCTCAATAAAGGATGGGCCAGTAAAAGGTTGGCTAGACAATTGGTTTGGGGCTTCAGGCATTTTATTTTACATCAATGAAGGTGTAATTAGAGTTATGCACGGTGATGGAAACCACACTATCGACTTTATTCCGGTGGACTACGTTTCCAATTTGAGTATCATATCAGCTCTGAGAGCTAAAGAGTAAGTTTCCGATTCACTAGTTTGCTAAACGTAACCCTATCGACACCGTATGTCATCCCACATATGAGTCGACCGGAGTGATACCACGGCCTCACAGAAAACCGGCGTGAAACAACCACAGCGTTGTGTTTCGCCGTGTGAGTGAGGTTACCGGAGGCCCAATCCTTCCCCTTCCCAATCCCTCCCCAGTTCCTAAATCTCCAAATCCCTAATCCCTAAAAGGTCGGCAACGCACTCGTACCTCCTCCGTGGCGGGTGTCCATGAGCGGCGCTGATTGCTTACCATCAGGTAATCCGTCTGCTCGTTTGCCGACCTATTACATAAAAAAATAACATAGGAGATTTGACGAAAAAAGTATTGGTGACGTCATGGATTGCATGGTCATCTAGCGAAGTCTTAGGGTACTGCCCTTTTATCTTAAGGAACTTTTACACTTTGTTTCCTAAATAATTATGTGGTTTATTTGACTGTTTTTTTTTCAAGTCACGTTATCAATATTATGTTATTATTTTAGTGCCCATAGATATTTAAGAGCCGAAAATGACACATGAAAAACCCATAATTACCACCATATAGAGCACTAAAGAGAATGTGTGCGCGTCAGAGAGAAAGAGAGAGAGAATGAGTAAATGAGATATTAATGACGTCATTATTATGTGTTCCAGGTCCAATGAAGTACAAGTGTATAACTGTACCACAACATCAGATAACCCGCTAAACTGGGACACCATCTATAAACAAATTAAAAATGAAAAGAAAATGACTGGAAAAAGTAAGGATTTTTTTATATCCACACCAACCGGAGCTTTTTAAATCAAATTCAAGTAACAGAACTCCAACTGAATAATTCCTATGTGAGAATTAGCTAAGTGAAATGCCCAATCCTTACCCCATATCTCCCAATCTCTAAATCTACAAAAGTCTAATCGCCATTTTGGATACTTAAGAATTGGGTTGTGTTGGGGGAAGGGAAAAAATTAACCTCACTGACTCGGCAAAACAACGCTGTGGTTGTTTCATACCAGTTTTCTGTGATGCCGTAGTATGACTCCAGTCAAGATGACCAATTCGCACTGACGCTTGACTCTAAAATCTTGTCCTATTTCTGTAAAATAAATCGTAGAATCGACATGACGTTTATGAAAAAAATAGCAAAAAACCTTTTTTCAATTAATATAATATGAATATTCTCTTTCTGATCGCTTCTTATATCTCATTCTCTTTCCAGATAAGTTCCCGTACGTAAGCACGATATATGTGAATTCAAAACTAGCTCTGCATTTGGGAACCTTCTTCCTCCAGATCAGTCCAGCACTCCTAGCTGATTTATGGTTGAAAATTAAACGCAAAGATCCTAAGTAAGTTTTCCAGTTTTTAATAATTTTACGTATTACTTGCACTGCTACATTTTTCTTATTTGTAACTAGCTCTTACCCGCGGCGTCGCTCCCGTCATTTGACTACCTACCCTACTCTGCCTACCCTACCTACCCTACTCTACTTACCCTACCTACCCTACTTTACCTAACCTACTTTACCTACCCTACTATACCTACCCTACTCTTCCTACCCTACTCTACCTACCCTACTCTTCCTACCCTACTCTACCTACCCTACTCTACCTACCCTACTCTTCCTACCCTACTCTACCTACCCTACTCTACCTACCCTACTCTACATACACTACTCTACCTACCCTACCCCACTCTACCTACCCTACTCTACCTACCCTACTCTACTTAACCTTCTCTACCTACTTTATCCTATCCTATGTCCTTCTCCTAGCTCTAAACTACCTCCCTGCCAATTTTCAGCTAAATCGGTTCAGCCGTTCTTGAGTTATAAGTGGTGTAACTAACACGACTTTCTTTTATATATATAGATTGACTAGCATTTGTCCGCTACCTCTGGTGATAAGCGATGATGCAATTTATGATGAAGTACGCCTACCCATTCCTAAGCACTCGCACCTTGAGGACCCAGGTTATCCACCTACCCCTGGGAAACACAGATACCGGCAAAGGAAATTTCACTGCTCAGCGGTTCTGATGATTAAACTGAAGGCCATGCGCTTCGTGTGTTTAGATTGGGACATGGGATTTCAACCATAAAGCGGTGACATTTCGCCGATTGTCTAGTGGTATGAAGGTGGAAAGGATTATGATTTTATTGTCACTATTACAACTCCTGTAATTGGTAAGCCGATGACTTAAAAAGTTCAAACAGAACACCAGAGAGTGCTAATCTATCCTACAATAAGTTCTTAGTCTTATTATAGCCAAGCAAAGAGCCAAAGTGTTGAACCATCACCAAAATTAAACTATAATAGGATCCTAAAAATTCCAGATACGTCAAAATAGTATCACAAGCCATCGCTGTCCGAAACGCTTATGATTATTTTACTAGCAATACTTTCATCATGAGGTCTGACCGGACGAGGCAGCTGCATGCCTCACTGTCTCCCGAAGACCGGCAGCAGTTCCAATGTGACCCGACGCAGATTAACTGGCCAGAATATTTGAAAGTTAATATGAATGGAATCTATAAGTACTTGAAGCCACCTAAGGTGATGTGAAACCTCAGAATACAGAACAAAGAAAGAATCGAAAAGAAGAAAGATAATAATATAATACTTGTTTGGCATCAAATACTGCAAAAAATTAACATTTATAACAAAAAATACTGAAATAAAATAATTACAACATCATAACACGAGAATAATTTTATTATATATGCCTTGCATAGTAAAATAATAATATAAAACAATTTACTAATTTATTTTGGTAGTAATAAATGTACCTGCTTTTTGTTGTTTTTTTTTTCATTTTTGTTTTCATTTAACAACCACTACAAATAATAGTCCCAGATTATCTCACTACAGAAAGAGCACCTAAAGCAAGAATACTATAAAAAGCTACCTAAAAATCTTTATTAGGATTTCATTTCATTCCTACACACAAAACCATGATCAAAAGAAATGTAGCAAAATGTTCTAAAGTACGCTAAAAAGAGGTTTCCTTTTTCATCAGCTCTTTTTAAGTTCCATTAGGTGTATAGCCCCTATTGAAGTGGGCCTCAATTTGGTATAGCCTAGAGCTATCTTATATGTCTTCAAAAACGACAATTATATGATAAACGATCGACATTTTTTTTTCTATACTTACTTAAATAGAAATTGGTTTCATTATGGATATTCAAGTTCCTTATCTTATTGTGTAAAAAGATCTTTATTATTATTATTTTACACTAGCTTCCTGCAGATTTTTAGTTTAAAAACTATCCTATATCCTTTCTCGAGTCCCAAACTATGTCTGTACCAAATTTCACAAAAATCGGTTCAGTAGTTTAGGTGTGAAGAAAAGACAGACAGACAAACGGAGAGACAGAGTTTCGCATTTATAATATTAATTTGGATAAGTCCTAAACCCCCCCACCCCTTCCGTTATTTCTCCTTCTCCGAGTCAGAGCCGCGGTATATTATTGCGCTTGCTAATTAATCTAATGGGCTATTGTTATAAAAATATACAACGTCATCATCGCAGCAATGAGCATTACAATTTTATTCTTAACACGCCAACGATCAAACCTGACCCTATGCTGTATGAATGCATACATACTCTATGCTGGAAGTAGCGGCTTGATAAGCACTTCATTGCTTTTTTATGTGATAAAAAAAAGTGTAATCGAACGTGAGTGAGAGAGTGTGTAAACGAGCAGCTGGATTACCTAATGATAAGCAATGCGAGATTCGAGTTTCAGAGATTTAGGGATTAGGGAGGGATTGGGGGAGAGGAAGGATTGGGCCTCCGTTAACCTCACTATCACGGCGAAACACAACGCTGTGGTTGTTTGACGCCAGTTTTCTGTAGGGCTGTGGTATCAGACCGGTCGAGCCATCCCATTCGTGCCGAAGCATGGCTCTCCCACACATTTAAACCTATAAAGTAAGCACGATATTTACGTAGTTGACTGAACTCAAATTTTTATTTCTATCTCAATCAATAATGTTCGACGTGGGAGTTAAAATCAGGCAAATTGGGGTCCATTGAAACGCTTAATTTGATTTCAATTGGTGCGTTAATAATTCAACTCGTTTAGAGCCCTAGATAGTTCGATAAAGGCGTGATTTACAAAACAAATTTGATTTTAAAGTTGCAACAAAAATTTAATAAACTTGTTTGTTATTTGTTCTTTTTTTTAAATAACGTTTCCCCATATTAGGGTTTTCTCCTGTGTCGTGGGTGCGGTTACAAACATACAATTTCACATACACATGACACCCAGACCCAGAACAACAATTTGTGGATCACACAAAGAGTTGTTCCGTGCGGGAATCGAATCCGCGACACGTTGCACGGCAGCCAGTTGCCCAGCCACCGCACCAACCGTGCAGTCAATTTGATCTCAGTCTTCTGTGTATGTGTACTAGGTATATCTGTATGAGTTGCTGATGACGTAAACGGTTTTTGTACAAACATTACACCGACCTTTAAGCCGCAATCTGGCACCGCGGCCTCAGCTTTAGTCAGTAAGAGTCTGACACTCTCGCTTTTCCCTCAGCGAGAGAAGACATTTAATGATTTTCCCCTGACAAAAAGAAACCGTTATCTCATGTCCTCTGCCAGGCCATTAATAATTGAGTTCCTCAAACACAGCAGAGCAGAGAGTTAGGTACGAGTGCGTCGCCGACCTTTTGGGGATTAGCGATTTGGAGATTTTGGGATAGGGGAAGGGATAAATTGCGCCTCAGGTACGAGCAGCCGGTTCGAGTTCCGGAGATTTAGGGATTGACGCATGGAAAGGATTCACACTCACACGGCGAAACACAACGCTGTGGTTATTTCACGCCCGTTTTCTATGGAGGCCGTGTTATGACTCCGGTCGAGCCGACCCGTTCATCAAGCATTACTCTCCCGTACTTAAGAGACCCACACTAGTAGAGCTTTTTAATAAATGTTACAATAGTCAAGTTTTAATGTATTCTTAGATGTTCCTTCATCTAACCTAGATTGGATGGATTAACATTAGTGTGCTGTTACTCACATCAAGTTAGTTTCTAATTTAAGGTTAAAGTTATTTCCTGTTCGTTTCTGTTAAAACAGCCCTGTGATAGGATATCGAAAAACAAGTTTCGATATCCTATCGCAGGACTGCAGGAAAAGATTAATACCTACATGTGTACCTTTGTTTTTAATCGTATTATTCCTTCATAATATACAAACGAGGTTTCGAGGTTCAAACGGGTGCAATTCTGATACTAGATTTATCCACTAAATATTAAATGTTATTGTAAATTTAAATCATTCTCATCAGTAACTCTATGTATCTATAAAAATGTTGACTTTGACGACTTTGTCTTATACTATGTATTGCTATAACTAGTGATTATTTTACTAACTGTGCCCTGCGGTTTTAGTCGCGTAGTATTAAGCTTATGCTCAACAAATTGATTAAGTGGTTTCAGAGCCTATTCTATTTTTTGCAAATCTTTACTCTTTATAATTGCAATTATTATGAATATGTTGTACATGAATAAATAAATAACTTTTCTTACATAGTCCTTAAGATGAAGGGTACGTTTACACGACGACGCTGACAAATCGCCGTCGCCCCTAACATCAAACCAAAATACCTTTTAATTTTAAATTCTTGTCATATTTGTTAACATAGATTCTTCATAATCGTTAACCTAGCCACTAAAGCAAAAAATCAAGGCATAAAAACTTGTCTAAAACCCCAAGAGTTTAAATGTAATTAGCGGCTAACTTCATAATCATGTATGTTCTCGTCCTAACAAATTTTCGCGGCAAATGGAATGTCACGAACATTGTGAGCTAACTGAAGCGATGTCCAACGCATCCGTTTTGAAATAACGGCCTTATTCTGGTGTTAATTAGTTTTAGTATTGATCGTTCACTAAGGTGGCAAATAGTCTGAACTACTTGTACTCGTACTTGATGTACTTGATTCCCTGATCCTGCTTTTTTACAAACTACAAAATTATGAAAATTTTTTGTGAAGGGTAAATCTTATGTCTTCTCCCGTCCAGGGTCGGGCAGGAGGGAGTGTAAGCCTCCTACTGACAAAAAATACCGCCCGTTCCTTCTCCTGCTCCTTGGCCGAGGCGGCGATGCATCATTGCCTGGCCTTGTGGTCTATTGGCTCTTTGAGGAGCGCGCGGAACGCTACTCGCCTTACGCTCGGGTCTAGTTCTGGTCAGGCGGCGAGCTACCTTTACTCGCCGTCCGCAATATTTATTTTGATCGAGCTCGTCACTCGCTCAAATGCTGAATATTAACTTTTTTAGATTTTATTTTAGTTGTAGATGGTCTTTTCGTTGAATTTTTTACCCTTCATATCCTATTCTAACTTCAATATAAATATCAAATATTCAGAATAGGGTCGTATGGACCACTCCTCTGAATTAAATTCATCCTCGTTGAGTGAGCACACGTGCTGAAGGGCCGTTTTGTGATCGTTTAATTAACTACTGATTTTAATTGAGACTAGGCTTGTTGCGAGCTACCAAATATTAAACCCGAATCCGAATAGACTATGTTTATGTCTAATTAGTTAATAGGATTAGGGAAGATGATGATAGAAAGGACAATTTGTAATTTTCCTTTTTGTTTGTAAGCATATTTTTGGCACTCAGAGACAGTCGAGTATAAGATTATAAGTTCTTTAAATCTATGTGTCACCTCACTAAGGGTGTTAGAAGTAATTCGATGATTTAGCTCCTTCCTCCTAAAAATGTCAGCAAAAAAAATAACATGGATCTAGATACAGATTGTTTTCAATTGATTGGTTTGGGAGTTATTGGAAAAGGCCTATGTTAAGAAGTGGAGGTCATAATGGTTGATATTATAATAACTCACAAAATAGTTCTCATTCTCAACTTATTGCCATAAGATCCTTTCAATGATGGCATGCATAAGTTAATCGTATTGTAACACACTTTTCAACCGGCAAAAGAGCAGACGGATTACCTGATGGTAAGCAATCAGCGCCGCCTATGAAACTCTTATGGGTTATTTGCTATTTAATAATAGGGGATTTGAGGAGGAAACAAGTTTGCAAGTCAAGCAACGTAAGTTTGCTTTACGCTGGTTTACTGTGAGACCGTGGTATCGCTCCGGTTGCGTCAGCCATTCGTGCCAAAGTATGGCCCCCCTACACTTAAATCCCTTTGTAATATAGAACGAAAATAGCTTTATAACAGGACGAATAAATACATTTTAAAACAAATAATAGTTTACCACAGAATATTAAATCACACATAAAGGATTACGCTATCCGAATCCGATATCCTGATAAAGACTAGGTGTGTTCAAATCCTGAACTAATCACGTTCGGCAAATATTATCATAGAGTGTCCGAAGTTTGGGTGCTCTCCTATTGGCGGCTACCATCCTACATTAGTATGCAGTGCTATCAGCGAATTAGTAGTGAGTGGGTTAAGTAAAACTCTTAAAAGGGGGTTTTTTAGAATTTAGTTAGGCTTTTGAGAACGTTGCTTGATGAAATATTCATTAAATGTCTTTAAAACGAAACTTAAATTAGATTATGGTTTTATAAAAGCTACAATATATAATCATTGTCGTCGTTAGATTGTAAAATTGATAAAGAATAAATTAAG